TTCCCTTCCCCCATGCCTCCCTCCTAGCCCCCAGCTCCTGTCCCGGCAGCCCTGCTAGCCCCCTCCCTGCACACCCCACCCGCATGGCACCCACTTCCCCCCCACCCTGGGAAACACATGCACTGAGCCCAGCCCTGCTCCCGCAGATCGATGATGTCATCGATGAGATCATCAGCCTGGAGTCCAGCTACAATGACGAGATGCTGAACTACATGTCCGTGGACGGGGGGCTGCAGCTGCCCAGCACGGTAACGGGGGGTGGAGGGGGCTTGCGGGTCACAGCTGGGGTGGGAGGAGGGGGAATGCTGCCCCTTTAAAACGGACAGGGAGGTGGCAGCTGGCTTGGACTCTGCCCCTTTAAGGGCTACCAGGCAGGTTGGTACACCGCCCCTTTAAGGCTGGCTGAGCCTCTGCTCCTTAAAGGCCATGTGGGTGAGTTTGGACTCTGCCCCTTTAAGGCTGATGTGGGTGTGTGGCCAACTAAGGCTCCACCCCTTTAAAGGCACCTGGATGGGTTCGCCTCCCTGCCAAGAGAGGCTATTGCCCCTTTAAGACGTTGCCCTTTTAAGGGATCCTGGGAGGCAGCAGCCATGTGGGACAGCGCCCCCTGAGGCCAGGAGGTGTCTCTGTGCCACCATGAATTGTAACCCCTTGTCTCCCACGCAGCTGCCGGTGGCGGGGAACCTGCTGGAGATTTATAGCAGCCCGGCGCTCCCGGACTCAACCGTCCCCGTCAGCAACTCCTGTCCCGCCGACCTGCCCAACATCAAGACAGAGTTGTCAGGTACCAGTGTGGCCACGGGGGCAGGGGGCGGGGGCATTGTGACTTTCCACACACCCATCCGTCCGTCTGTCCTGCTGACACGCTCCCTTCTTCCCTGGCTGCAGAGAATGAAGCCAAGGCGCTGATGAAGGAGAGGCAGAAGAAAGACAATCACAATCTGAGTGAGTGTGTGTCGTCCCGTCCCCCCTGGCTGGGTAGATCCTTCTCAAGAGGATGCAGTTGGAGGGGTGGATAGTTGGGAGGGGGTGTAGGAGGCCCCCACCTCGTATCATAGACATGAGGGGAGTTGGGCCACACTTGAATGAGAAATTAGGCTGTTACCCGGCGGAACTCCCTGCCACATGATGCTGGTGACGAGGTTTAAGATGTGCTGGATGCTGATCGCAGAGGGGGGTGGGGTGGCGGGAATTGGGGTGGGATGTCTCAAGGGGAACCCTGAGCTGGCCGGGCCTCTGAGCTGCCATTTCTCCCTCTGCAGTTGAAAGACGGAGACGATTCAACATCAACGACCGAATCAAAGAGCTGGGGACTCTCATTCCCAAATCCAACGACCCGTAAGTGGGGGAGGGCACAGTCCCCCGGCTCTAAGCACTACCCCCACCCCCAAAGCCCAGAGCCCTGACTCCCAGCCGCCTCTGTGCCCCCAGGGAGATGCGTGGATTACATCCGCAAGCTGCAGAAGGAGCAGCAGCGCTCCAAGGAGATGGAGCTGAGACAGCGCAAGCTGGAGCAAGCCAACCGCAGCCTGCAGCTCCGAGTGCAGGTCTGCCGTGGGGCACCATGGGGCAGGGAGAGGGAGGCTGAGCAGGGGGCACAATCCCCTAGCAGGCAGAGCCAGGTGCTTGGGGGTCTCCACAGGGCTGGGCAGGGGAGCACTCTCCTCTGACAGCAGAGCTGGGTGCTTGGGGGGCACCATGGGGCTGGGAGTGGGGCAGGTGGCTCTCTCCCCTGGCCACAGAGCTGGACATTTGGGGGGTGCCGTGGGATTGGGCAGGGGACACTCTTCTGGGCAGCACAGCTGGGCACTTGGGGGGCACCGTGGGGCTGCGCAGGGGGACCTCTCTCCTGGCAGCAGACCTGGGTGCTTGTGGGGCTGGAGAGCAGGGGGATTAGTGGGGGGCTCAGCAGGGGGCACTCTTCCCACGATCCCTTCTCTCCCCCTACAGGAACTGGAGATGCAAGCCCAGCTACACGGCCTGCCGCTCACCTCGCCGGCAGCGCTGCTGCCCCTGGGGGGTGCCGGGGAGGGCGCCAAGCCAGAGGGCCCTGGCCCCCCTCCCTTCCTGGCGGGCCCCTCCTGCGTCCCGGATCCCACTGCCTCCACTGCCTGCCTCCTGGACCTTGCCTTCCCCTCAGAGGAGCTGGGCGAGGCCGGGCTGGGCTTCCCCCTGGGGCTGGGGGCTGACAGGGGCCTGGAGGACATTCTCATGGAGGACGGGGGGCCCCTGCCGCCCCTGGGGGCCTCGGACGGCTGGGGGCTGACAGGGGCCTGGAGGACATTCTCATGGAGGACGGGGGGCCCCTGTCGCCCCTGGGGGCCTCGGACCCCCTGCTCTCATCCCTCTCTCCTGGCGCCTCCAAGGGCTCCAGCCGCCGCAGCAGCTTCAGCATGGAGGAGGATTCCTGATCCTGGCCCCGCCCCTCTGGGGTGGGAGGAGTCAGGGGAGCCATGCCCATCAGGCTCCACCCCTGGCAATCTCCAGGCTCCACCCCCTCTTTTATAGGCACAGCAAGCTCCTCCCTTTCTCTCCAGCTCCATCCCAGGAGTGGCGCCCTTCGGCCACCCGTTGTGCAGGCTCCACCCCATCTGGCTGTAGGCAGCCCCAGAGTTTCAAAAGCTCCACCCCCTCTTGAAGCTCCTCCTCAGTGTGTAAGCTCCTCCCCTTTCCCCTGGAGGGGCGGCTTCAGTTTCAGACTGTGCCCCTTTTACCCTCTGTCTCTGTCCTGTTGAATAAGCCCCGCCCCTTTCTCTACTGCTCCACCCCCTTCCTCCAGTTAAGCTCCTCCCCTTGTTTGTTGCCACTCTTCTAGTCCCTCCTCCAACTGAGGATGGGGAGGAGCTCTCTCCAGACCACACCCCTTATTTGTAGTTGCCCCCTTCAGCCATGACCTTTCTCTACTTCCTCCCCCTCTCCCCATAACTACCCATCACGTCCCCCTGCAGAACTTAATTGTGGAGCATCTGGGGAGACCCCCCCCACTGCCTATTTTGAGATTGGGGGAACCTTGCAGCCTCTCCCTCACATGCTGTGTAGGGTGGGTGCTTGTGATTTGGGGGGGCCAGATGTGTCCCCCTAGAGAGGGGATATTGGGGGAGCCCCCCAAAGGAGCTATTCCCCACAGCTGTGAATGTAGGGGTTCATCCGGGCACACACTGTGAGCAGAGCCATGCACCCCCCAAATCATAGAAGGACAAAAGTGGGGTGCAGCCATTGGGAGAGGGGAGCCAATCTGCCCCCACACAAGTCCTTCAGATCCATGGATGTCAGCCTTATCCCAAGGGAGGTGGGCATCTGGATTTGGGGATGGGGTGCCCCCATTTTCAGCTTCCTCCAACCCATTTCTCCCCCTTTTCTGAGGGTGTCCCTCCAAACATACAAAGAGAGCTGTGTATGAGATGTCCTCTGGATAAAACGTGTACCCCAAAACTGGTACTTCAGAAAATGGGGTACCGTGGCAGTCATAAATTCACCCCCAAATCTGCTCTATGGAGGAGTAAAAAACTTTGTCCCTTCAAAAATGGGGTGTAGGGGAAAAGGAAACAGCTGTAGGCCAAACTTTGCATCCCTTGGGGAGCAACTAAAAGAAGGGGGTCCCTCACTTTTTGGGTGGGGTTCAGAATAGCGCCCATTTGGCTCCCTGAAATAGCCTGCTATGTGGGAGTGAGGTGGGGGTATGACTCATTGGCTGTGATCTTCCATGGGTCCTCCCCAAAAGCACGGCACCCCAAAAATGCATGAATGGGGGGTTCACTGCTGAGTCCTGTCTTTTCCATTTGGGGAAAACAGTGTTTCGGGGGAGTCTGTATTTTGAGAGGGAATCTGGCAGATGGGAGGAGGGAGATTTTTTTAAATGCTTTTATTTTATACAAATCCTATTTTGTTTTTTTAAAGAAAAAAATTATAACCCTTTCCTGGCCCGTACAAAACTGGAGTCCAGGGGGTTCCCATTTGCTCGTCCACACTCCTTGCCCAAACCCACTTTAGGGGGCGTTGGCTCCCCTCCCCCTTTGAGAGGGAATCTGGCAGATGGGAGGAGGGAGATTTTTTTAAATGCTTTTATTTTATACAAATCCTATTTTGTTTTTTTAAAGAAAAAAATTATAACCCTTTCCTGGCCCGTACAAAACTGGAGTCCAGGGGGTTCCCATTTGCTCGTCCACACTCCTTGCCCAAACCCACTTTAGGGGGCGTTGGCTCCCCTCCCCCTGGACAGGGGGAGCCGTGACTATGGGGTGCATGGAAGGGGACCAGCAGCCTTCTGGGGGTGGGCGGTGGCAGTTGTATTATGTTTGGGGGAGGCTGGCTCTGACCCCAACTCCACCCCGTACCCCCCTTCCCGGTTTTGTACCAAGACCTGGACATAAATATTCGCTCTGAGATGCTTATAAATAAACCTGCGACGCTGATGATTTTCTAACACTGCCCCGTGTCCGGAGGCTGATTGGGGGGGGGGTTGCTTTGCTCTCTCGGGCTTTGGGGGCGCTGGGGTCATGCTTGCGGGTGCTGGCTGCTGTCCTGCAGGTCCCTGGTTCTTCATCCTGGAAGTACTCTGGGAATCAAGGCCACTGGCCTCCAAGATGGAGCCCCTGGGACACCTGCCCCCCACCTGAGCCAGAGGCCAGCGTGAGAGACGCCTCCCCCCCAGCCGGCAGGGGTGCCTCGGGGCTGGCCTGGCGGGGGGGGGGCGCCCAGGGGGCTGTGGTCAAGAGGAGAGGAATGGGGCAGGCTGAGGCTGTGAAGCCATGGAAAAGAACATAGGCAAGGGAGGGTTAACAGGGTATGGGGGGGGGTCATTGAGTCGGGGGCCATGCTCTGGGACAGCCCCTCTGAAGCCAGGCAGGGCTCCTGGGGAAGCCAGAGACCCTGCACCCGCACCCGGCAGAGAGAACAGAAGGGCTAGCAGGCGACAGGGACACAGCGTAGTACAGGGACCAGGAACGTTCAATAAAATCCACCTGGACGGGTGGGGGCCCCAGAGCCAGGGCTGTGGGTCTCCTCCTGTGCCCCCAGGCAGCCGAAAGCAAACTCCCCTCCAGCTGCCTGCCCCCAGCCCGGCCTGTTGTGAGAGCCGCAGCCTCGTTAATTAACCCCGGGGTCACTGGGCAGTCCCTGGCCCCAGCCACTCATTAGAGCCGCAGCCTCGTTAATTAACCCCGGGGTCACTGGGCAGTCCCTGGCCCCAGCCACTCATTAGAGCCGCAGCCTCGTTAATTAACCCCGGGGTCACTGGGCAGTCCCTGGCCCCAGCCACTCATTAGAGCCGCAGCCTCGTTAATTAACCCCGGGGTCACTGGGCAGTCCCTGGCCCCAGCCACTCATTAGAGCCGCAGCCTCGTTAATTAACCCCGGGGTCACTGGGCAGTCCCTGGCCCCAGCCACTCATTAGAGCCGCAGCCTCGTTAATTAACCCCGGGGTCACTGGGCAGTCCCTGGCCCCAGCCACTCATTAGAGCCGCAGCCTCGTTAATTAACCCCGGGGTCACTGGGCAGTCCCTGGCCCCAGCCACTCATTAGAGCTGCAGCCTCGTTAATTAACCCCGGGGTCACTGGGCAGCCCCTGGCCCCAGCCACTCATTAGAGCTGCAGCCTCGTTAATTAGCCCGGGGTTAATTAGGCAGCGCTCATTGGCCCTGGTTGGGTCACTAGTTATGCCCCTCCCACCAGGCACTTCCTAATGAGCCCCCCCCCACTGGGCTGTGGTTAATTGGGGGTAATTAGCTAATTGGGGCTGGGTAATTAGTGCTAATTACGTGTCTCAGTAATTGGCCTGGGTGGGTCTGCAATGACGCAGCCCCTCCCAGCTGCCACTAACTCCAAGTTAATTAATGCTAATTAATGGTTGCGCTAATTGGGGTGGGGGCAGAGCGCTGGAGCCCGCCTTGGAGGACCAAAGGAGACGATGCTCCCGTCCTGCGTCATTAAAGTCTCCCCACTTCCGGTTTCGCAGCGGGACGCTCTGTCCCACAAGGCTCTATGATCGTCACTTCCGGTTTAGCGAGCGACTCTCTCTCCCCCGCGCCAGCGACATATCTATGGTTCTCACACCCGCGTTCCTGGCGACGCTCTCTCTTGCGCCTCTACGTCTCTATGGTCGCCTGCCCCCACTTCCCGCTGACGCCTTTAAAGGGCTGGCGGAGGGG